ATATATATTACAAAGTTTACTAGAATATATGTTCAAAAATATTCAGCACTGGAAAGATCTTATTAAATTGATAGGTACAAATGGCAGACCCTGCTTACCAAAATAATCCCAAAGCGTAAGCGGACCCCGGCTGCGTCCCGAGACCAGTCTTGCATCGCGTCCGAGGGAAAGGCGCGGCCGACCCCGGTTCAGCCCTCACGACCCCTCACTGCGGGTGCACGCCCAGCATCGCCTGATCACTCGGACGATGTCCAGTCGTCACAGTATTTTCCACTGTGGCTTTGCCCAGGTGATTTTTCTTTTTATTCAACGAAAGATTTCTGAACTTCCACATCCGTCCCTCCTCAGTAACAGCCTGTTCCCAAGATGCTGCTAAATGTTTTGTCACATATTTATGCGCGCAGTAACCCTGCACAGGAGGCATCCAGGTGCTACACCTTGCCCACAGGTGACCTGTAGGCTATCGGAAGGCAGGAGGGGCCTTACATCTCCTGGTGTAAGCTGTGTGGCTCACACCGATACCAAAGTTCGAGTTATATATACACTCCTGTGACACTGAGGAAGGGTGATAACACTATTAGTTTCCGTTTCTTCGATTACCATACGAATGGCATAGGTCTTTTCCGTCCAGCGATACAACTTAACACACAAAAACTAAAATTTTCTTCTCGGAGAATTTACGAAATCCATTCGTCGCCTGATGTGATGACAACAGGTGGAAAGAAGTCGCCGAGGACTTCATCTCTGCAGTAGTATTCAGCTTACTCCTCGTCGAAGGCATCGGCAGACACTCCATCCCGGCTGGCTCTCTGTGCAGTTGATGAGGTCTGTGTTCTCCTCAAACAGGTCCCTGGCTTCTGAAACAAGAACAGCGGCAGAAATCTGGGTATGGATAAAAGTCGTCGAGTTCAAGATGTCTGGGGAAAGCAGGGACCAGGAAAGCATCCATCCATGGCCTGGTAGAGGGAAAGCCAGATATACCATCTAATCCCCCAAAGAACCAGGCATTAACTTTAAATGTGAGAAAAAAGTGTGTACGTTCCCTTCATTTGGAGGGATTATAAGGGAGACTCCTTTGTTAAAGCATTAAAAAAGTAGCCCTCCCAAAGTAAACTTTGGTTTTCCTCTACTCCTCGTAGAATAGCCCGGTAGTTCTCCAAGACAGAACTACACAAAATATCTTCTTTTACAGCTTCATCCGTTCTGTCCAGTGCCGTCGCTGTTTCATCCTCCCGAATAATAACAGAATCTAACAGGTTAGTGGTAACTCCAGCCATTTCAACAGCCTCTTTTGCTAATATATCAAATTCCATGATGGGTATGCAACATATCAACATGTCACCCCCCCCCATTATAAACACTATAATATTGTTTTCTAAATTTAGTCCCTCCCAGAAAGAATGCTTTTATCTGACTTGCTAAACTGACCTATAAAATCTCATGTTCTCGTGCTATCAAGCCCTCTAGCTTCTTACCAAGTGGAAAAAATGTTTAGTACTCATTCGAAATCTAACCCCAGGTTAACATCTGTAATTCTTCTTCTTTCTGTCTCCTTCCACGATTCGGGATGGTATGGCAGTGGGTCTGTCCCTTGGCCTTCTCTGGATTTCTTCCTCAATATATTCTTTACACCGTCTTAAAACTTGAGCTTACGACTCTTGTCTCTTGTAATTAATCTTCCACATTATACGAAGGAGCCGTGTCCTTTGAAATTAGGATATATGGAAAATGAGGGTCCCGGTGCTTTAATGTGAAAAAGGGTGTGTCTTTTCTTACTCTTTGGTAAGCCGTGTTGTACGCTAACTCTGCCATAGGTAACATTCGAGCCCACACTGAAGGATTGTCCCAGACCATCGTACGCAAAATCTTATTCAATGTACTTTCCCATTTGAGCTTGGGTGATATGGAGTAATGGTATGTTTGTCAATGCCCAATGCCATTTGTAAATGCCCTCGCGACTTCTAATAAATTCTTACTTTAATGGAATCGCAATTACGTATTTTGTTAATGCATCTACTAGTGTGAGAATATAACGAAAACCCTCTGATTCCGGATAAGGACCCACTATATCCGTACGGACGCGCTCAAAAGGCCTTGAAACCTCAGGATATCTTAAGAGAGGAACAGGGATATGTTTGCCCGGTTTACATCGCAAACATATGTCGCGCGACGAACAATATTCCTTTACAGACGTCTTCATATTTGGAAAAAATGCAAATAATTCCAATCTCTTTAAAGTTACTAAAACAGCCCCATGCTCTGCAACAGGCATCGAATGAGCTAACCTTAATGCTGTTCTTTGATATAACTCTAGTACTACCCCTCGAAAAAAAACTTTCTAAAAGGCTTATTTAAAACACTGTATAATATCCCATCAGGTCGTACTTGATAATTCTCGATTCTCCCAGGAACCAGGAACCCCTTTAAACTCATCTTTTGAAAGTTCACCACCTCGTATTTTTTTTTTTTTTTTTTTTTTTTTTTTTACACGACCCCAAAG